CCCCCCCCACCACCACAAACACACACACACACACGATGTACTTGCATGCACAAGATCAGGTAAAATAATATACAAGAAATGATAAACAGACACATTTTCAAGGGATTATGGACAAAACCTACATCAGACTGACCCTGTACTTCACCATCACATGACGGACATTCATGCTAACATTTGGTTGGTACTGGTAAAATATTTAAGATGATCTGCTCCGGACAAACTTTTGTAAAGTTAAGGCCAAAGGTGTAAGCATATGTCATGGTGACCTACTTATCGTTCTCTGCCATATACGCGGATACCACATGTGATTGCACCAGGGGGAAATTATAGAACATAGACAAAGGAAACACTTTTTCAAGGACAAAGATTAGGGTACAACGACCAGCTACTTATTTACTGCTCTTCGCCATCCCAAGATGTACTACCATACCAAATCTGGTAACTCAAAGTATAGTAATATAGACAATATGCCCTGGGAAAACATTTCCAATAGTTTAAGGTTTTAGAGACAAAGCATGGGTCACAGTGACCTACTTCTCGTACTCTTACTCCAGGTTTATTAGTCTAGAATATACACCCAATATATATGGAATATTTAGCAACACATGATATAATTATGAAAATGCAGTACAAACGAAATATATATTTTAATCTTTATTTACCACACGAACGCTATGTTTGTGATGAAATAATGTGTAATGAAGGGTAGAAGTAAAAACACTAAGCGTAAGTCGGTAGTAAACTGTTCTGCTGTATATAATAAGGCGATATATATGTACAGGGTCTGTAACATATCACTAAAATGGCCGATCAGGGTGAGCAGTACGGGAAGTTATTTGTCCAGATGAGGATACTAGTATTCCATTCGAGAGCGCAAATGAAACAATTTTGATGATGAGAGAGGCTAGCTGCCGACCTTGTTATGTTAACCTGAAGCTACATCATCAAGGACAGAGATGTGATGAACACGTTCAAAAATCTATTATCAAGTAGGAGATGTAAAATTTATCTCAAGTGAAAGATACAGGTGGTCAGTTGCTGATGCCAATGCTGTTGACAAGGACATGAATGGCCCAGCATTTACAGAAATGCATACAAGTGCTGACCTTGTAATGGCACGTGATACCGTTTTTTCCTTCCCTTGTTATGATTGGCCAAGTGAAGCTAACGAGTGGATAAATAGGCCACGCCTACATATATGGCAAGATAAAGTTTTAAGAGATCAGATAGTGCAAGGTGGTTGTCATCTAGTCCCGGTTGGGGATTAAACGTCTGTTGCTGACCAATCCCAACAGTGGAGGATTTCATTTGCGACTGCGGAAAGGAAACTCATTCATTCTCTAACGCATGTCCAATTTTTAGTGTATGGACTTCTCCAGCACTTCCAGAAAGATTTATCTCGCATGTTGGAATTGCGCTCATGTGAAACAGATATCATATCGTTCTATATAATAAAAACAGTTACATTCCATGCAGTAGAAAGCACACTTAAATCAGTGTGGCAAGAAAAACAAACATTTCTCTGTTTCATGCTGTGCTTGAAGATTTTGGTCAATTGGGTGAAAGTAGGACATTGTCCGAATTACTTCATTAAAAACACGATATGTTCCTTGGTAAAGTTCAGGATGAAAATCAACGGAAACTTCTTGATTTGCTCACTTTACTCCACCAAATGAACTTGGATTGTCTGTCGTTCGGCGATTTCATGCGACCATCTATACCAGATACTTTCAGGAATGTGCTAAAAAGAAATTTTGAATATTCACTTCCTTCACCATTACAGTTAGAATATGGAGATGACTTGAACATGTTCAAAATGATATACTATTTTATGAACAGTACAGATGCACTTCCTGTGGCGTTGGAACTCCTTTCTGCATCAACTTCGGACTTGGACGAATTCCTAGGTTATTTCGCTGCAGTTCAGGCACTGTCTTATACAGGGATGAAGACATTCGGTGAGCACGTCACTGCTAGAGGAAATAAAGAGAAGTACAAATCTCTCCGGAAATCCAAGAACCTACTGAGACCGTTTGCAACAGTCTGTACAAGTTCAGGACTACTAAGTTTTGCAACATTTTGCTACCAGACTGGAAATTACAGTAAAACACTGGAAATGTGTGGACACACGATGTCTTCATTCAAACTTTATTTTGAGAACGCAGCAAACCGTACGTATATGGACAGGTATAAACAGCTCTACTGTGGGCGTGGGTGCGGCTTTCTACACAAATGTCAGGCATTTATGACAGATATCAAGTTCTTAGATGCAGCCCCACAGTTCTGTCCATCCAAGTTAGATCAAGAGATAGGTATCCTCCAATCCCCTACGCCGAGTACCTGTCTTTCCTGTGTTACCACGAACTTGGAGACACCAATAGACGTGACACATCGTTGATTAAGCTTCAGAAGCTGACGTCTGACGTGGAAGAAGGAGGCAGGCAACACTGGAAAGTACACAACCTCTTGGGGATGTGCTATGAAACGGTTGGGGACACACACGGGGCTCTCAGGGAATACAAGGAATCTCTTGGACTTGATCACCATCAGAACGTTGTCAAGGAGAGGATAGAACGTTACCAGGAATCTCTCACATAAACATTCAATAGAATACTTCTACATCTTGTCACTGTGAAAGGATAAATCTGAACAGAACACAGTGTAACACATTCATTTTACAAGTGTTATATCATATTTGCGTATCAGTTTTTTTTAACTCTAATTGATATGCCGTCATCAATCTATGTATTTCATATTGTTTATACGTCATCAATAGGTGATATATATGTAACAATGTATATTTCTTATGATGTCATAATAAAAACCAGTACTGAAGAGCCTTAACTTAAAGACGAACATACATAGATACATACATCGAACATGTGCAATTAGTAAATATGTATTATGTACAATAACTACACATGTAAAATGGACATACATTTACCATTAACATACAAGTTCAATGAACAATACATTTTCAATTAGCATAAATGTAAAACGTGCATATATGAACAATGAACGTACATATACAATGAACATGCGTGCATAATGGACATTTATAATTGTTTTAATCTCAGTAAAGGGATTTCAATATCACAAATTCATTTAAGGATTGAAATATCGTACATTTGTATTAATGTATTACTTTTTTACGATATATTCTTATGATGTGCTGTCATCAATTTTTGTATGTATTATTGTTTGTACGTCATGAATTGTTAATGTTATTATGTAACAATGTATACTTCTTGTGATGTGATAATACGAGTCAGTTCTGAAGAGCTTTAATGCGCAAATGTAAAACAATGAATATACATGTACAATGAACATACATATGCAATGAATATACATGTACAACAAACACAAATGTACTTGCTCAAGCAAGTACAACAAACGTATATGTAAAATGAGCATACATTTTCAATGATCATACTTAATCAATGGACATACATTTAAAATGAAATACGTGTACAATGATCATTCATTGAAAAATTAAGGTATACGTAAAATGAACATACGTGTTCGATGAACATACAGTTACAATGAACATACGTATACAATGAGCATACACGTGGGATATGTACAATATACATGCATGGAACATTAGCATACGTACATTTACAGTGAACAAACATTTACCATGTTCATACATGTACATTGAGCATACATATACAATGAGCATACAAGTACGATGCTCATTACTTGACGAAAGCGTTCCACGACTGCAATATTCGAATTTCTTTTTTGTTTTGAATATTTATATATATTCTCATTTCTACTGCAAGGTCCTCTATCGTTACCGAAAGAAAATGCCTTCATAGAACTAGGAACGCAATTTGAACAGCGTCATGTTGAAATATCTCATCTCGCCTCGAATAACCTGAGACAAATATTGCGGTGACGTAAGGCTGTTCCAAGAATCGCATTTGCACAGACGACATAGACGCTCGTTATGGGAAATATCAGAGAATATTTATATTTGGTCATTATTTACTGAAGATTTAGAAAGGTATTCTGTCCCTTTATCGTGACAACAAACACGAAACACTTGTATAAGATAAACTTAAAATAGGAGATACTGACTTTTCTGCTCATACATCTATAGTAGAAACTGGAAATTCCCGGTTATTAAACGCTCCGATAGAATGGGTACATAACAACACATCTAATATTGTGTGAGCTTTTCCCCTTGGACTTGATGGCTGTCAATATACGACGGAAATTTAATTAAATAGAGATTTCACGTTTTCCGGAATGAATGAAGTCACGCACACGAATGGCTGCGAACCTCTCCTGAGATGTGTAGACATTTAGTGCTCTGTTTTAAAGTTCATCTTTGATCCTCGGAAAGTGACTTTTCTGATATTCAATTTCAATAAATTTTATTGTCGAAGGACAAATGGATTGGGCAGCAGGCATATCCTATTTAAGCCCTTTCCAAACATAGTAACAGACAGTGGTAAAACATAGACATTAGAACACATACAAACACATACAAACACATATAAACAATTTTGTATTATCAAATTATAATCAAATTAGGGGAAACAACTACTAATACTCATTTTTATCATAATTGAATATAATCGTTTAAATTCTTTAAGTTCTAACCTTTTATTTTGATATTGAAAAGACATAAAAAAAATATATACCGGTGTATACATATTATGAAGAGAAAAGAAAAATAATTTATTGATGGAGCTGCAAGTA